CGATTCCTATACTTCCACCTACAGTTTACTCTTAAATGTTTTGCATGGTGCACGATTCCCATATATCCACCTAGAGTTTCCTCTTTAATGTTTTACATGGTGCACAATTTCCATACTTCCACCTAGAGTTTACTCTTAAATGATTTACATGGTGCACGATTCCCATACTTCCACCTACAGTTTACTCTTAGTGTTGTACATGGTGCACGATGCCCATAAATCTACCTAGAGTTTAGTCTTAAATGTTTTACATGGTGCATGATTCCCATACTTCCACCTACAGTTTACTCTTAAATGTTTTACATGGTGCACGATTCCCATACTTCTACCTAGAGTTTAGTCTTAAATGTTTTACATGGTGCACGATTCCCATACTTCCACCTACAGATTACTCTTAGTGTTGTACATGGTGCACGATGCCCATACTTCCACCTAGAGTTTAGTCATAAAAGTTTTAGATGGTGAACGATTCCCATACTTCTACCTAGAGTTTACTCTTAAATGTTTTACATGGTGCACGATTCCCATACTTCCACCTAGAGTTTACTCTTAAATGTTTAACATGGTGCACGATTCCCATACTTCAACCAAGAGTTTACTCTTATTAGTGTTGTACATGGTGCACGATTCCCATATTTTTACCTAGAGTTTAGTCTTAAATGTTTTACATGGTGCACGATTCCCATACTTCTTCCAAGAGTTTACTCTTTAATGTTTTACATGGTGCACCATTCCCATACTTCCACCTAGAGTTTACTCTTAAATGTTTTACATGGTGCATGATTTCTATACTTCCACCTAGAGTTTAGTCTTAAATGTTTTACATGGTGCACAATTTCCATACTTCTACCTAATGTTTACTCTTAAATGTTTTACATGGTGCACGATTCCCATACTTCCACCTAGAGTTTACTATTAGTGTTGTACATGGTGCACGATTCCCATATTTTTATCTAGAGTTTACTCTTAAATGTTTTACATGGTGCACGATTCACATACTTCCACCTAGAGTTTAGACTTAAATGTTTTACATGGTGCACGATTCCCATACTTCCACCTAGACAGTTTATGATTCCCATACTCCCACCTAGAGTTTACTCTTTAAATGTTTTACATGGTGCACGATTCCCATACTTCTACCTAGAGTTTATGGTCTTAAATGTTTTACATGGTGCACGATTCCCATACTTCCACCTAGAATTTAGTCTTTAATGTTTTACATGGTGCACGATTCCCATACTTCTACCTAGAGTTTACTTTTAAATGTTTTACATGGTGTACGATTCCCATGCTTCCACCTAGAGTTTAGTCTTAAATGTTTTACATGGTGCACAATTCCCATACTCCAACATAGAGTTTACTCTTAAATATTTTACATGGTGCACGATTAACATACTTCCACCTGGAGTTAACCCTTAAATGTTTTACATGGTGCACAATTTCCTTACTTCTACCTAGAGTTTACTCTTCAATGTTTTACATGGTGCACGATTCCCATTCTTCCACCTACAGTTTACTCTTAGTGTTTTACATGGTGCGCGGTTCCCATACTTCCACCTAGAGTTTACTCTTAAATGTTTTACATGGTGCATGATTTCCATACTTCCACCTAGAGTTTAGTCTTAAATGTTTTACATGGTGCATGATTTCCATACTTCTACCTAGAGTTTACTCTTAAATGTTTTACATGGTGCACGATTCCCATACTTCCACCTAGAGTTTAGTCTTTAATGTTTTACATGGTGCACGATTCCCATACTTCCACCTAGAGTTTACTCTTAAATGTTTTACATGGTGCATAATTTCCATACTTCTACCTAGAGTTTAGTCTTAAATGTTTTACATGGTGCACGATTTCCATACTTCCACCTAGAGTTTACTCTTAAATGTTTTACATGGTGCATGATTTCCATACTTCTACCTAGAGTTTAGTCTTTAATGTTTTACATGGTGTATGATTTCCATACTTCTACTTAGCGATGACTCTTAAATGTTTTACATGGTGCACGATTCCCATACTTCTACCTAGAGTTTACTCTTAAATGTTTTACATGGTGCACAATTTCCTTACTTCTACCTAGAGTTTACTCTTAAATGTTTTACATGGTGCCCGATTCCCATACTTCCACCTAGAGTTTACTCTTAAATGTTTTACATGGTGCGCGGGTTCCCATACTTCCACCTAGAGTGTACTCTTAAGTGTTTTACATGGTGCACGATTCCCATACTTCTACCTAGAGTTTACTCTTAAATGTTTTACATGATGCATGATTTCCATACTTCCACCTAGAGTTTACTCTTAAATGTTTTACATGGTGCACAATTCCCATACTTCCACCTAGAGTTTAGTCTTTAATGTTTTACATGGTGCACGATTCCCATACTTCCACCTAGAGTTTACTCTTAAATGTTTTACATGGTGCATAATTTCCATACTTCTACCTAGAGTTTAGTCTTAAATGTTTTACATGGTGCACGATTTCCATACTTCCACCTAGAGTTTACTCTTAAATGTTTTACATGGTGCATGATTTCCATACTTCTACCTAGAGTTCAGTCTTTAATGTTTTACATGGTGTATGATTTCCATACTTCTACTTAGCGATGACTCTTAAATGTTTTACATGGTGCACGATTCCCATACTTCTACCTAGAGTTTACTCTTAAATGTTTTACATGGTGCATGATTTCCATACTTCTACCTAGAGTTCAGTCTTTAATGTTTTACATGGTGCATGATTTTCATACTTCTACCTGGAGTTTAGTCTTTAATGTTTCACATGGAGTATGATTTCCATACTTCTACCTAGAGTTTACTCTTTAATGTTTTACATGGTGCATGATTTCCATACTGCTACCTACAGTTTACTCTTAAATGTTTTACATGGTGCATGATTTCCATACTTCTACCTACAGTTTACTCTTTAATGTTTTACATGGTGCACGATTCCCATACTTCCACCAAGAGTTTACTCTTAGTGTTTTACATGGTGCACGATTCCCATATTTTTACCTAGAGTTTAGTCTTAAATGTTTTACATGGTGCATGATTTCCATACTGCTACCTAGCTTTTACTCTTTATTGGTTTGCATGATGCATCATTGTTCTACACATCCAGCTAGCTTTTACTCTAAAATGTTTTACATGATGCGTGGTGTTCATTCTTCTACCTAGTTTGTACTCTTTCATAATTTACATGATGCATTATTATTTTACAATTCCACCTAGCTTTTACTCTATAAGGTGTTACATGATGCATGATGCTTATACTTACACTAAGCTTTTACGCTAAAATGTTCTACATGGTGCATGATTCTCATAGTTCCATTACTGAACACCCGTGGGGTGTTAACTCAAGCACCGTGCTTATTATTCATCTATGTTTTCACTCACTCAATCACCCGTCCACGCACTCCCTTGTCAAGTCAACAAGTCTCTCATTCATTCACCTGTCATCTTTAATGTACCCGTTAACATAGAGTTTGAATTCGATGACAGGTCCACATCATAAAACAAACGTTTACGCAGGTTTTGTTTGCAACCAGGAATTTGGTAATTATTTGCATAGCACATTTGCTGCCTTCCGTAGCATCCTAAAAGTGACATTTTTAGGGCAGGCAAAGATGGAGAGCCCAAGCTATGTCGTCACTTTATGTGATTAGCACCTCTCAAAACTAGCACTAATCCAGATAGAGCTGTGGTAATTCCTTGCTTTGAACTCTTGGCATGAATCAGTTCCTGACTGTACAAGCTTTCAGTGTGATTAACGCCGTGATTGGAGACTGACCGAAGGTCAGACTTGCCTCAACTGACCACCATATGAACATCTATAATTGGAGAACGTTGTCAGTAACGGACGTAGCTTGATTAGTGCCTTAATTAGTCGCTTCATCAACTTGCATGAGATATACTTGAGTATTTATCACATAGTGAGTCCTGTTTTACAGTGATAAGGAGATAATGGTTGTGTTGAGATTGTGGAATGATATGGAGGTTAATCAGCGAAGTCATAGTTCATATAATATTAACCGGTGATTATATACTGAAATGTCTGGTGTGTTTGTGAAAGCAAATGCACAAAGATCACGTTTTGGTGAGTGAGTGAGTGAGGGAGTGAGTGAGTGAGTGAGTGAGTGAGTGAGTGAGTGAGCGAGCGAGTGAGTGGTGAGGAAAAATAATCGAGTCTGGACCAAACAATCCAGTGATCAACAGCATGAACATTGATCAACGCAATTGAAACACGTTGTAATGTGTGAACTAAGTCAGCAAACCTGTCAACCCGACCACGTAAATTACCTCTGAGTGAGTGAGTGAGTGAGTTGGGTTTTGCGATGTTTGGAGCAGTATCCACTTACATCATGTAAAGCCCGATGTAATGTAGGTCTCAGCGGTAGCCTAGTGGTTAAAGCGTTGGCTCGTCACGCCGAAGATCCGGGTTCGATTCCCCATATGGGTACAAAGTGGGAAGCCCATTTCTGGTGTCCCCCGCCGTGATAATGCTGGAATATTGCTGAAAGCGGCGTAAAACCAGACTCACTCACCCACTGTGGACACTGTGGACCGTCAGTTGAAACGCCATTTTCATAACCTATTGCTGTGACTATGATTTGCCTATATATTGCAAAAGAAAACATACTACCGAGACAGTAATGTCAGTGAAGAGTGCTCCACTGTCGCATTAGATTGTTCGTGTTTTCCATAACATTTGAAGGATGAACTAAAACATACGGAAAGATATTTTTCAAATGAATACTTCATCATGTAATACACAGATATAGTCAGAGCAAGATACATATATACAGACGAAAAAGCTGAAAGGGAAGAAAATACGGTGTGAAAATTATAATTGGTGGTAGGGGCATGTTTCAGCAAGTAATACCACCTGTGCAAGACAGATTCAGTAATCAATCTTTGCCAAAATGGAAGGAGAGATTTATGACTCGTTGTAGTAAAATGTATTGTTTGTAACTATTCTACAATGTATTGTGCAACATCTTACCTGTGACGTAACCAGGTACTCCGGGTTCCATGTTATCACCGGAAGTCCCAGATACTGAGTGAGACTTTGGAAATAGTGCGTTGCGGCGGGGTTGACGTTGTGGTAGTGGGGGTTGTTGATGTAGATGACAGCAGGTGCTTCTAGCGGAAAGATTGTGTCACAGAAAGCGTCCAGAATATGCTGCGGGTCACCTTCTTTCAGCAGAATGAGCTGCCCCTGGAGGAGAAAGAACCTTCGCAAGGTATTGTCCCTCGATGGCATTGTCCTACCCCCGGGAAGATGACGGCCGTAGTGGTCCCGATCCCGTCGCAGATGCACGATGACGGGGAGGGTGATACGGACCCTCCCCAACGTCCCCGAACCAAGAACACATATCGAGAACACAACTAGGTTAAAAAGCCCATACGTGTCCATTTTTCATACCCGTGCCCTAAGCCAGCGCGTATTGCTGGTTACTTGGACGTGAACACATAAGTCAACACAGGTGCAACACGGGGAGACATCAATTCAGTCATAGCCTCATCCCCCGCAGAAACTGGTGGACAGATATTGGATCCATGTCAAAGTAGTTCTCACATACACTCAACTGCCTTCGCGATCAGCATTTAACACTCTTGCACAGTCGCTGCCACAATCTGTAACAGAAACAAGTTCAGCAGTCAATATTTCTCGTGCTTCCTGATCAGCAAATTGCTTAAAGCATACACATCATTCCTCACAGAGCGCGATGGATCCCTAGACAATGGTAGTAGCCGTTTGTTTGCGATAATAGAGACATTCTAATCTACGCTAGCTAAATTACTGCCTTTCACAAACGGAAAACGACAGTGACGGTGGATGGTGAACCATAGCTAACCTCGACAGAGAATCGCTCTCGCTGTGATCATTCTTATGAGGGAGGGGGAAACCCTACCAATAATCTTCTCACGACCATCTCGCACGGAAACAATGTATCTATAAATGGAACACGAAGATGATAGAGCTTGAGGCTTGTTTTCGTTGACAAGGATATCATGACGAAGCATTTGTATTAGCTCCATACCTCGAAGTAATATTTATTCTTGCGAACAAGCCACTGGTGTCGGACTTCGGTGTGATAACTGAATATATTATTTCTTCGGAGATGAAATTGAGACAGGCTGACGGACAGCCACTGTGGAAAGTATGTTATTATTCATATATGCACAATAAAAGTGGAAATTACCGGGCGATCACAAGCTATGGTAACCTTTAGATCCCTGCCAGATCTTTGCTAAATATGTCGTCAATGTTGTGTAAGAATTTTCAAATGCTTTAATAGCCATGATTTGCATCTGTGTAGCATCGCAGTAAAAAGTGGTTTTGACACAAACTGGGAAATCTCATATTGACACGTTTCTCAAAAAATACAGAATTGAACGTTACGTTCGTCGAACGCTGATCCGTTTCGTGTAATTACAATACGCAGCCCTGATAATACAGTTGTAAAACAATACATTCAGGCATACAAATAAACAATCAGCACAATTACATTGGGTGTGAAATTCAATTAGATTTTCTTGTCTATAGCGGAGTTACAGACAGATTAACGCTTATTGTATAATCGGAATTCTTGAAGTTGGTGTGTCAAAAAATGAAACATTCAACTTTATGGATGACAACTTTATTCTTAGATCGTTATAGCTAGATAACGATGTAGAACCTTCATCGAAACGTCGCTCTATGCAATACAAGCTGTAACGATGTAGGAAGACGTCGCTCTATGCAATAAATAAGACGTTGCCATCCATAACGTTGTATGTTTCAGATTAACTCTTACCTCTATAACACAAGCAATGCTATTGAATACAGAAATATTTTAATACAAATACCCTGAGCACACATTTACCGACAATCGAGTCTGCAGTGCACATCCTAAAAAGTAAAATCGAGTTTTTACTGATACCAACCTGTTAAAACATAAACACTTTTCCAAATAGTAATCCCCTAAGCATCACATGTGTATCTGTTTTTAAAGTATTGCTGGCATCAGATCATGCGCAAGTAGAGCTATCCTGCTTCTCAACGCTTAACTGCGTGCGGTACGAGAGTTTATCAATTCCTTTGGAGAAAGAAACCTATCCTGACGAGGCGGTTTTGCCATTGTGTACGATACGACGCATGGGTAACATGGCAAAAAACACACAGTTCTTTTTAACGACCGAGCCCCAATAGACGATGGCCATTCGTCTTTCTCTGTGCATTCAGTCATTAACTGGCGCTTCTTAGAGCATCGGTGATCCCAAAGGGAATACTGTATGCGAAGATCACAAACAGTGTACTCTGGCTTATGTTCGTTCTGTTTACCATACTTATAATTCAATTTTAAAGTCTTCAGTGATAGGTACTGTTTCTCTAATGCTGTTATGAATGATGGAACGGAGGTCTCTGGCAATTATCAGATCATGACGTAATTTTGCAACCTTTAACATTAATCCATTAGATGATACTTTGTGAAAAAGCAGACTTGAATGCTAATCAAAGATCAACCTATTTTTCCGCGTTTATACAAATTATGAATGAAACATGTAAAGACATGTAAAGATAAATTATCCTTTTTGAAACTGCAAATGAAGTTAAAATACCTTTCTGTGTGTGTTGTTCGTTTGTGCAAAATGAATGGGTGAGTGTCCTGCAATCCAATTGCATGAAACCCCTCTGAAACAGGGTTGGAGGCAGGAACTCTCCTATACTTTTCACGAATATATGCGTACTTTCCTTAATACATATTATTTTCGCAATCCCAAATTTAAACACGTCCTGTTCATCTAGGTAAAATGGAGAGTATATTAATTAAATACCAAATTGTTATCTCCATTTGCTAAAACACCTTCGATGAACATAATTTTCATATTCTGCTAACCAGGTGGATCTACGCAAATTTACTGTTTTTCTTGCATTGCACAATGGCGATTAGCATAATGTGTTTTCAAATATATGTATGTATTCGGTGCCCAGAAATGTTAACACTAGAGATTCCCGGACATCACTAAAAACGAAATATGAAAACACGTAATGTTTATCTCAGACAATGTGGCTAGCTGTTGATAGAGTATTCATGTTGAGGCGTCAGTCGTCCATCTGTTCTAACTTTGTCGTATGAAGATGCCCACTCACGTTACATTCCCTTAGGTTTCAGTATTAACATTAAGGATAAACTTACTTGACCTGATCTTTATTGGCTTGTGCATGATATATGATAGTTATGCCACCATTGGACTCACTTTAAGGGTATTTGTTGAGACTGTTGGTCTGTTGTATTTGTCGTTCAATGTCAGATATGAACACAATTGGTTTATGGGAACAACTAAATGTGAACGTACTTTTCTTTCAATGTGTTCTTTAGAACTCATAATGACAGAGCTCGAATCATACAACTAGAAAACTCATTTCCATAACAAATCTCTGCTAAAAGAATAGTTTCTCTTTGCTCCGTTATACGATTCCGACTATATCATGTGTTTATGTAAAAGCAAACCAACATGTGAAATATCTTCATTTGTCTTCTCAACATGTTTGTTTTGTTTTGTATTGTTTTATTTGTTTGGTGTCTTTTTGTAAGTTTTTGGTTTTTGTACTGTATTTATTGTTGTTGTTTTTGGTTTGGTTTTGTTTGGGGTTTTTGTTGTTGTTGTTTTTGGGGGTTGTTTTGTTTTGTTGTTTGTTTTGGGTGAGTGGGTGGGTTTTTACGTTTTCGGTTTTTTATTTGTTTTGTGGTCTTTTGTATTTCTTGGAGGGGAGACCTGTTGGTTGTCCTTTAAATATTGTGGTGGTCCGTAGATGTCTGACAAGGACGTGAAAGAAGATCCTGTTGGTTACCTTTAGGGTGATGCATAAGAATGCTGTGTACAAAAGCCAGTAGTACATGTAAGTTATAATTACATATTACATTTATAATGCTGCATTCGTTTTATCTATGTCCACAGAACAGTGTGCCCTCGAGTCTTCCCAGCTCATATACTCACTGAGCTGCCTGTTGGGCGACAAAGGTCATCAGTCACATAACCATCTCATCTGAGCTTTTGAGCTCTGGAAACGAGTAACTCATTCAGACGACAAAGCGCCTTAGCGCCTCAACAGTGTATCTTAATCCCCATTTGATAAACAGACATTGTTTTTGTGTTACATACGATAGATGTGTTTACAGAGGCGTGCACGGTCACTTTCCCCTTATCCAAGTGACTCTTTGGCCTCTTCCAAATCTGTGAACATGGGAATGATTAGTTTCGTTTAGTCCGCTTTTGACAATTTCCAGCAGTATGACAAAAGAACCTCAGGAATGGCATCACAAATTGTCAGGAACGCTTTAATCTTAATCTTATTATACCAACTGACGAGTAAACACAAGTACCCATGCATGTTTAATGGCTGATAAAACAAACAAGAAATTGTTATTTAAAGTCATGTTCTTCAAACGAGTATCAGTTACGTTTGGAATGTACGTTTGCAGTGCTTTGTTGACAATTTTATAGTTCAATAAAGATTCAATAACCTAATGTAATGTGGGGGTTATATATTCAATTATCAAGAATATACTTTTTTGCCAAGTAAATTACACGATTTTCCCGAGATTATGCAACAATGTTTACATTATATCTGATCTGTAAATCATCTCATACATATGGCCATGGTTGACTGCAGGCCCAAGGGACTCGTCAGTTCACCATCATCCAGCCTTGAGGGACGATCTGTCTCTGTGATCAATGATAGCTCTGGTAAATCATATTTCGAACGTGTTTTATTCATGTTTTGACATGAATTTCAGAAAATATATGTTCAAAAGGTGGAATTAAGAAGGTAATCTAAATCTTGTAAAACATATTCTCTGATGTAGGGGAATTATCAATGAAGCGATATTTTTCCACGTGTAACAGCGTGTTATAAAAAACAAAGTTGGAGAAGGTTTGAGAAGTGTGTAGTGATTTTGAAATGTATTACGTGTGAAGTATCTCATGAACATTTGGACTACCCCAACTTTCAAAATATACATGTATCTCAGTTTTACCACGCGGACCAGAACGGTTCACAACGGTACTCTTTCGGAACATGTAAAAACACACGTGAAGAAAAGGTCGCCTATCCTTTAACATTCAAAAAAAGGAATGATGGTAATTTTATGGATATACAACTTCTCCATTCTGTATATCCATAAACTTATCATCATTCTTCATCACCTCAACTTCCAAAATGCCATCAAAGAAGTCAGTCAAAAAATATGGCGATCAACAGGAAAAATGTTCTTAAACTTCCGTGTTTATTACTTAATATATTATTGGCTTTCTCAGAAAATGGTTGCAAAATGAATAGTTTTTATTTAAAAAGAAGTATCGATTAACCCCCAACCAGCATGCACGCACGCTATATAACAACCAGCTGACAGGTTATATGTACAGAGACAACCATTAGTTCATTTTTATCAAACTGCAAAACATTAGTTTAGCTTTAGTTTGTTTAAAGTTGCATTATGTACCAGTTTGTTCTAAACACTTCCCATCAGTAATTAATATTAACAATGAACATCCCGTACTTCATCCTTCACTTGCTTCCCTTGTACATTGTCCATGGTTACCATTGTACAAGCGACTCTGCTTTAGGCACAGATTTCTTATGAATGTGG